GTTTCACCTTTTCCACACACATTTTGATGTTTCAGTCAGCAGGGGGATTTGAACCGGTGACCCTTTTTAAACTGATTAAATGTCAGCAGTTTAACAGTAAACTTCATGACAGCTTTTACTCATTTTCATTTAATCATCTGATCTGGTTAAAAAAAAAAAAAAAGAAAGAAAAAAGACAAGGATTCTAATCTTCAGTAAAATGTCAGTCCAGTTGACCAGAGTTTTATTTTAATTCACCTGTGTGGTTTTCAGTGCAAGAATTAGATACGATGTTTAAACATGAATCTACCTGGATGCTGTATTCTTGCTGTGCCACTAAGGTGCAGTTGGCCTTCAATAAGCTTAATAAAAGGATTGTGCAACACATCCCCATCAGAAGTACAGTATACCAAGTTGGCAACGTAAAACTGGTCTGTAGATCTTTCATTTTTCTGGATTTGTTGCACATTGTTAAAGAGCATTATGTTTAGCCCAGTCTCTACTGCTGTCTCTGATCCTGTAAACCTGGACTCTCTTCATCCATATCTTAAGCAGTCTGTTACAAATCTCAGGATGGTTTTAGACTCTGATTTAAGTTCAATAAACAGATTAACTCTGTTCTACAGAAAAGCTTCTTCCAGTTAAGGCAGATAGATAAGTTTAATCAGTGTTGACCAGATCTGACCTTGAAAAATGAGCCCCATGCTTTTATCACTACCTGGCTGGACTACTGTAACATTCTTTATGTTGGGGTCAGTCAGGCTTTTCTTTCACATCTCCAGCTCATAAAAAAATAAAATCAAATGCTGCAGCTCGGCTTTTAACAGGAACTCGTAGGTTTTTATCACATTTCACCAGTTTTGTCTTCGCTTCACTGGCTCCCAGTACATATCAGAATTGATTTTAAAATTCTCCTGTCAACATTTAAGTACCTAAATGGCCTTGCACCTTCAGATCTCTCTGACCTACTTCAACCATATGTTCCTTCTTGGGCCCTGAGCTCATCTGACCAGCTGCTTTTGGTTGAAGCTCAGAGGAGATCGGGATTTATCAGTCGTGGGTCATAAACTGCA